ACATGGCCATCTCAGACCTCAAAGAGTTAAACTTGTCGAATAAAGGGGCCCGAAAGGCTCGTGGCTGCTCAAACTCGTGTTTACTGACAGAACGACACAAGTGTCGTTTAACGACACTTGTGTCGTTCTGTCTATTTCTCCCATTTTTCTCTTCATTTCCTCCGCGTCGACCTCAAAGATCGGACCTCCTAACTTAAGGAAGTCAGAATTATAGATTACGTGACGGATAGTGAGGGAATTGGCATGCATTTCGGTGAAATCACAAGTCACCATCCACATTCGTTAGAAAACCAAAGTAATGAGGGCATCTCCCAAATTACGTGACCGACATGGCCATCTCGAGACTCAAATGAGTCAAACTTGTCGAATACAGGGGCTCGAAAGGCTTGTGGCTGCTCAAACTCGTGTTTACTGACAGAACGACACAAGTGTCGTTTAACGACATCGTTCTGTCTATTTCTCCCATTTTTCGCTTCATTTCCTCCGCGTCGACCTCAAAGATCGGATAATGGGGGAATTGGTATGGATTTCGGCGAAATCACAAGTCACCATCCACATTCGTTAGAAAATCAAACTAATGAAGGTATCTCCCAAATCTGAAAATTTAATATTTAACATTTATTTTACGCTTATATTGACAAAATAAGGTAAGTTGTTTGCAAATACTACAGGTGTCATTCCCATTATTAATTTTGTCAGAATAACGGCAGTTGTGTCGTTCTCAATATCTTTTCAAGATCAGTAACGACACAAGTGTCGTTCTCGTAGACTTGTAAATCTAACTTCTAATGAAATAAAAATACAAATCTGAAAATTTAATATTTAATATTTTGTTAACGCTTATATTGAAAAAATACGGTATTTGTTTGCAAATGCGGTAAGGTGTCATTCTCGTTATTATGTTTGTCACTATAACGACAGTTGTGTCGTTCTCTATAAGCGGTAACGACACTTGTGCCGTTCTTATGAATATGTTTGTGTCTTTATAACGCTACTTGTGTCGTTCTCCCTATCTTTTCAAAATCAGTAACGACACTAGTGGTGTTCTCGCATACAATGACCGAACAACATAACAACAGTTATGCCGTTCTTATAGCTTTTCTCTCATATCATTAACGGCACAAGCGCCGTTCTTAAGAACAAAACTTGACTAAAACCCTTAACCAAATTACCATTTTCATAGAAATGCATAAGCACATTTAAATGAAAGACATAAAAGCTGTCACTTCAATTAACATTCAACTTGAAGGATTTACTAGGTTGCAAAATCAATCTCCAAGGTCTAAATACAAAAATAACTTCAAAACATTCACTAAATCTATGGATCAAAGTGTCATCCAAATATCTCTGCAGCTAATTTGTTCATCCAAATAGACATATATTCCGGACGAATCAAATTCATATTCAATTGAGCTTGTAAAAACTCAATGAATTTCACTGTGAAAAGCCCACAATCAGACCTACAAATTCATAATGGGAAAAAATTAGATAGACATGAATTAGACGAAAGAAGTCAAAGATATTGGTGCTAAATGTTATATTCAACCAAGTTTACCCGTTTGTTTGTTCAGGAACTACAACCCTCTGATAACGAAACATGCTGGTGCTGAATTTTTCTTCACGCGCTATGTGTTCCTTTATCAACAAGGGAATTACCACTTGAATAGGTTTCATGCATTCGGCCAGCTAAGCAGCGCGGATGTGTTTTGGCAAACTATCGTAAATGTAAATAGTTCGCTCCGTCAAATCAATCTTCAGTGCAAACCAATGAGAACCCGGTACACAGTAAGGAACATACAAAAATTTACAGTTACTCCAGTGTTTACCGAGCACCGGTGAAGCCCCTTCAACATAATCGACGAGCTCTTGGTCAAATACATAGTTACCATTTTTCTTTTTACGTGCACCCATTTTTAGGTAGGCTTTTTTCATAAGTTGCCAAAAATAACAATCCAATATAGCACAATCTTGCTGAAATATATGTGGATATGTCACTGCCCTTTCCCTAATGTGGTATAAGGCCGAGTCGATATACTGTACACCAAAACATGGTTAATTAAATGCATTTTTCAGTAAAAATAATTCTAATATACAAATATTACTTACATCATCGATAAGCCACCCGTCATCTTTCAATAGTTCATCAAAGAATTTCCTTCGCACTTCACAGATAGCCAAGGTTACTGTATCACTGTGACAACAATAATATCAAACTAAGCTAACTTGCAAATTCGAAATTACACCCTTCACTACGCCAACCACTGGAATAAAATAAATTACCTTGTGGATGCATTTGCCAACCACTTGTTGAGGTCTTCAACTTTTGCAGGATCTACTTCCCTTAAAGGGTCATATGCTTGAATGTTCAACAATTTTCTCCTCTTTAAGGGATTAGTGTATGGAGAAAGCAGCAAGGCTGCTCTTCTTTTAACTCGATGCCCCCTTCCTACAGGCAATTCAGAATTCGGATTCTCGATGACAATGATTTCATTACTAGGTTGGCAAACATGCGAAGATGTCGAAGGCTTCTCATAATCATCTACAAAAGTTGATGGAACACAATTCATTCCATTTTAACACACAAGATTGAAAAGTGAAATATTGAAACGTAAATTATTTGTACCTTTGTTAGATATGTTTGAATCCTCTTTTGTCCTAGCCACCTTCTCTGTGACATCATCTTGTCGAGCTTCCTAGGTTCGAAAGGTCTCTTCAGTCCAGACTAAAGGCCGTTGTTGGTACAAAACTATAGCAGATGAAGGATCTGGCAGAAATCCTACAAATGGGACCCAACATAAAAATCCTACAAATCCAACAAACGGAACCCAACATAAAAATTATTTGTAACTTATTGCAAAATGTACAAGAGAGAATATACCATCATCATATGTAGGAAAAGCCTCAGATTGCTTATTCGGTGTGACTTCTTCATGAAAGCATTCTTCAATAATTACCTCATCTCGCTCTCTTGTCTCTTTGTTCTGTTGATTGCCTTTACTAAAAGCACGATCATCAAATTTGCTTCTTTCCGACTGAACTCCACCTTGTCCAGCCAATTGGAGAAATAAATCAATTTTCCTTTCTACTCGATCGAAGCGATCTGACATCTCGCCTCGGAGCCTCTCTTCAACACCTCTTATTTCTTGTTTTATTATATGAGTGATATAGTCATAAGAAGGTGGGGGTCGTCTAGCTGTCTTGGATGAATGTAGATGGCTAGACATAGATGGTCGATCCGATGTCTTAGGACATTGTGGGCGAGTGAAACTTGACTGAGCATCATCACTCTCAGAGTCTTTTCGCTTTCATCCTTGGAAGCAACTTTTTCCAACTTAGGATCCGCTTCACTATCAAAAGGTCCGGATTCCTTCCAGAATGACTCCAGCAATTCATCGTCTGTAGGATTAAGCATACAATGTACCTCTATCTGAAAAAACAAGAATGTATAATTATTCAGCAAATTGTTTTATTATAATTATTGATACGCCATTTACATTTTGATAAATAAAACTTACATTTGACGATTCAAAAAATGTGCAAAGTGTTTCCCCCCTAAGTTGCTTGGACATTTCCCAGCTTATCATTCTTGGAATTCTGGAATCGACTGTTACAAGACCGAATTTCTTTCCAACACCGGGAATTGCTTCAAATGCCCAAATCTGTACAATCATAAATTTAATTTTTAGTAACATAATTAAATAAAATGTAAAGTTTAAATGATTTTAGAACATATTACCATGATTGCAAATGGAAATCCATGCAGAGAATACGAATATCGCTGAGAAGTTGTATAACCCTTCAACATGTCTCCCAAATTACGTTTAAAAACCTTAATAGTGTACTCGTATGACTTTCTCCCCCATGAATAGTTGTTAAATCTATCGAGATCATCCACCAAATAAAACAACCATGGGTTAACAAATGTACTCTCCTCTGCTACCAAAACCACGTACATCAATATGACGAGGAGGCCCAACTTATATTTATCATTCTTATGCTTGCAGCGTTTGAAAACTTGTAACAATAAACCTCTCTTTATTTTGCCGTTGCTACGCTTAAAACGCTCTTTCACGAGTCTACAATTTTGCCCTAGCTTCGGATTCTCGTTCTCCAAATCCCCCGCTTTAAGCCCAGTCACCAGTGTGAATTCTTGCAATCCAAATCTTGCAAGCTTGTCTCCAACCTTAATAAATACTTCATTTTCTTTTGAGGTACTTATTGACCTCAGAATCAATTGGTGGACTAATTGGGATGCAAGTTTTATCTTTCTTAGGCATAACAAATGTCCAAAGCAGGAATTGGTTAATAGGTCCTGATGCTTTTCATCTAAGCTATAGAAAACTTCATCGATCAATTTCATTCTACATCTATTATTTATCTTCACGTTCACTATGTCTTCATCATCCATTTTTCCTATTGCAAAATGCAAAACAATAATTGAGTTAGCAATCTTATTTCTTAAAGCAATCATTTACCAAATTATTGGACAAAAATAACGACTTACAAGCTATTTCACGACTACACATAGAAAGCTCCAATGCAACACAAAATTGTAGTAAAGCAATAAAACATTGTCAATTCAACCTCAAACTAATACCTTAAATGTGTCACAACTCTATAGTGCACTATGCAAAAAATGATTTACAAGTTAATATCAATGATTTGATATATAAATTGCTTTAGATAGTGTTCTATATACATGACTACTAACACACAAAAGAACCAAATGTCAAACGTTATCGGTTCATTTATTCGAAATTAGATAAATGCAGTAAAGTAAAGCATGAGGCCAACTCATATAAAAGTCACAAATACTACCCACTACTACTGTTACTACCAAAGTGACAAAATTTGACATTTCTAGAATCATTTTGACATCTCATATCAATTATGTACAATTTTTGTTCTTTATATACTCGAATTATGCACAACATTTCTACATGTGTAAAGATTAATTTTATGAATAACATGTAATCATGTCTAAAGTTAAAACCCTTTTGATCAAATCCCCAGGTCCAACGATTTGACTTCCATAACCAATCCTAATTATCAAATTGGAGACGACAAACCTAGAGTATCATGTCGATTTCTGTGAAAAGTTGAACTTTTGCTACTGCTTCAAATAATCATTAGGTTAATCAGTAATCTCAACTTTGACCAGAGACAAAGAATTTATCTATTACACTCTCCTATTTGTATGTTTTACCTATAAAACCTTGAACATTGATCATGTATATTAATATACTTAGCTGATATCTACTGGAAAATTGGGGATTGGCAAAGACTTTCTAGTGGAGTTTTCTTCCTTATTCATTTTCATCTGGTCTTGTACTAATTAGTGATTTTTAAATCAAATCATCACAAGGGTTGGTTATGTTAATGCTAAAAAACTATGGAGTAAAAAATGAGGAAGGGACATACTCCACATTATAGAAGAAAGATTAAAACTTAATGAGTAAAAAAGTTGAGAATCACGTGCATAAATGACAAAATTATTGTTACCTTGTTCCTAAATATTTAGAAGATTACAATTTCATAACACAAATGAAACATTGCAATAGTGGAGTTCAAAAGGGACCTCATGCATCCCCTCCGCCACCAGCCACAAACCCCCCTTTTTTCTCAAAAAAATAAAAGCTACCATTTCAAAGGCAACCACTTTCATTTCTCAACATAATACATAAATCTCCTCACATTATAGAACATGTACCTTAAATTTGTGTTCACCTTCACAGCCGCAGTAGCAAGAGAGGAATTTTCACAAACTCGTAGTTCCAAAACAAAGTCTTCGAGGCGGCAGGGGGGTCACTTCGCTCGCCTATGCTCGTCGTGCTCTTTTGCCAGGTTGATTTCGTGAGGTTTGTAGTGGATTTTGTGTGAGATTTTCTCAAAGGGGAAGAGAAGAGAGACGTTAATTTTTGAATTGGGGGAATAGGGTTTTACCTAAGGAAGAAACGAGGTGAAAAGAGGGAATATGGAAAGATTTTTGTGTTAAAATGTGAAGGATAATTTGGTCATTTTATTAATTAAACTATTTTGATTTTTTTTCTCCCCTTTTGTATTGGTCAAAGGCTATTTCACCAAAATCATTGCCCAGTCCGGCTATCTGGGCAAATTCCCCAAAAACATATGAACCAACCAAGAACCAATAAATTGATAAAAAAAAATCATCCGAATTGACCAATTTCAGTAAAACCAAAATGACCAGCCCAACTCGGATCAACCCATACTATAAGCCCATGTGGACATGTTATTTGCTTTTACTCTTCCTTTCTATAAAAGAGTTTCCCAAAAAAACTATTTTAGTCTTTGTTTGAAAAATAATTTTTGAAAGAATTTCATATTCTGGAAATGATTGTCGATAAAGCCACGCTTGACTAACTTTTTCTAAAATTAGAAGAAGCACTTTCATAAAATTCATCAAAAGGGGAACTAAAACAACTTTTGAATTTCAAAAGTTCTTTTTGACTTCTCAAAAGTCATACAAAAACAGACTACAACACTTTATACAAAAATATATAAGCGTTTGGATTAAAACATGAATAAACTACATAATTAACTTTATCATATATTGTAGAAACCTAAAAGTTTTATTTCATCACCTTTTTTAATCCATATTTGAGCCACATTTATTTTTATAAGAATGCATTTTTGAATAGTATATCGATGAAAAATATGCGGTTAAAAAATAAAGAAAAATTTTAAATTTGTGTGTAATATTATTTTATTAAAGAATTTGTGTTTAAAATGATATCAAATCACTATTTAAGAATGTATTTTTTTGAAAGAATGTAGATCAAACATGACTTTAATGTATTTACAACTTTTATTTGTTTTTTAAAAAAAGTTCCAATGTGGAAAAAATTCATATAATTTTAAGGGTAATAATAACATATGATAAGAATAAACCGTTAAAAAAAAAAAAGGACTTGAAAACATAGTTGTAAAACTTGGTCCAACCAAAACCCCACCAAATTCGGCAAAGCATCGAGTCGATTTGCACATTTTAACCAAGAAAGCATATAACCGATTAAGAACTAGCAAAATCAATCAAAAATCATTGGAATAAACCATTTTCAGTCAAATTCGAATGGCCAGACTAGCTTGGATGAGCCTATGCTACAACATTTTATCACTAGGTTACTGGTCCAACAAATTGATAAATAGTTCGGTCAGTGGGTCATTGTTAATTCATATGTTCAAATAATTTTTTTTTTGTTAAGTGAAAATCTTATATTTTTTAGTCTTTTTTTAAAAAAAGAAAAAGAAATGGCGTATATTTATTATTATTTGCCTTAAGATTATATGTGAATTTTATCAACTTTGGAATAATATATATATTATTTGAACATATGAATTAACAATGGCCCATTGATCGAACTATTGATCAGTTTATTGAACCAATAACCTAGCAATTGAATGGTTCATCCGGGTTAATGATTTGGTTGAATTTAATAACTATGCTTAACAAATATAAAATTTTAGCTTACAAAATATTTTTTATTTAAATGTATGAACGAGCAATGATCCACGGGTTTCACCATTGATCCACTGATTGAACCAATAATTCGGTGGCCTAATGGCTTTATTTGAATCGATGATAGCTATAGTTGTACATAACTACTACGTAGATATAAATTTGGATAACTTTTGGGATATATCGTCACATCAACAAATGAGGAATAATTAGTCGACCATCAACTACTGTCCCATATGTATTGTTTTATTTTTTATTTTTCCATGTTCTAATCATGAAACTACTTGCTATAAAAAAAATAAAAAAAAAGTAAATAATACGTAACATTTTTCAAAAAAAAAAAATTAATATTAATTTTTTTCCAAAAGTTTAAAATTTTATTGTATCATTTATATTAATATATTGTTAATATTTCAATCAAGTATCTTTATTTTATATCAATTATATATTATGTTTTAGACGCGATAATTTTATTATTGATTTGCGTTACATGCAAATCATACAAGACATTTGCCATGTCATGAGAATCCACGTGAGGACAACACGTCACCATTGTTAAAAGAATTATTCTAACTGTACATTGTGTGGGTCACATCTTAGTTTACATTGTATGATAACTCAAAAAGTGTTGGGCAGGAATGTGTGTTGTTCAATCATATGTTGCCACGCGGTACAATGTAAAAATGATGTCAAAATGAATATACATATAACATGATTGTTGTTCAAAGTGTTCTACTAAAGCCAAGGCCCTTTTTCTAAGTGCACGAAATCCAAATTGCACCACCTATGGAAAAAGGGACTTGTATGGTGGTTTACCCATATGAAAACTTC